CCCCAAAACCCCAAAACCCCAAAACCCCACTAAGTGAAATTTCAAAAATGCTGTTAAGTTGTAAATTATGAAATTAAGAAGCTAAATGATTGTTCACTCTAGAATGTATCAAATCTTGTATGGCGATTAAGTGCACTCTGCCCATTCTTCGGTTTTTAAGCAGCAGGACCAATGTCCTTTTTTGCCTCTGTAAAAGCATGAAGTTGAGCAGTTGCGACAAATGCAATAGATATCAGTGCATTCGTATTCTGTGCAGGGAGCATGCCAGAAACCAGTGTGATTCCCACAATGCATATCTTACTCTTCGTTAAGACAACAAGTCCAATGACCTTACATTGTACCAGTGTAGCCACAGTTGACTCCATTCGGCATTAAGCCGCAGCTATTGCAATGGCAAAAGTCTTTAGTGCATTTATTTGGATTGCAAGGTCTATGCCATATTCCATGATGTTACTTAGGGTATTTATAGAGCAACTTGATTGCTTGTAGATCACCTTTGGAGAAGATATCTCCTGAATCAGCTCTAGAGAGTACTTCTGGATTATTTGGATAGTTGCCTTACACTACATGACCTAGGTTCATTAATGAATAGGGATCATTTGCCCCTAATGGCACTGAATTGTAATTGGTAATTCCTTAATAATTATCGCCATGTCTGAATCCAGCTGTGTGCATCATTTCATGTAGGATACAGGCTACTCTGATTGGCTGTCCATTTTGATAAGTTTTACTCAACTAAATAGTTTAATCTTATTTTTTCCAGCAACCACAAGAGCTCTTAGGGTCAAATGGTACAGCTGCGTCAACAAAATTAACACAGTAAGGCGTATCCATACTTGCTATAACCCACTAACAATTTTCTCCATTCCACTGGTTCCATTTCTAGATTGCTGCTTCAACCTTGAAGTAAAGTTCTTCATTAGCTCTGTTAACTAAGTTTAGATAGTATATTTTGCCTCCATCCCATCTACGTGCCATTCCATGCATATTGAAATTTGGTCTGTTTTTGTTGGATCTACTATCCCATCCTAAGTCATGATTATCTCCACAGATATTTCCCATTCCAGAAAAAAGATATATCAATAAATTATTAATTATAGTTAAATCGCCTACTTACTCCAAAAAATTATATCTAGAGGGGTTTTGGGGTTTTGGGG